AAAACAATGTTTCAGTACATAAATTCTGTTTTTAGCGTTATCAAAAATACATGTGTGGCTAAATATTGGTAACAATCACTTTCCCAAAGGAAAATCACTCCTCTTTATTGACCGTGAAATTATTTTAGGGTTGAACTCGGATCTGATGTCCATTTCCCATCTACATTTTCAAAACAGAATAAAATAGTCAAAGCAGAGGACATTAACAATGCGGTATATAAAGTATTCCATCCAGGCTTCTGGGTGAGAGAGCAGATTGAACAAAGATTCACTTCTCTCCCTTGAGAAAGCCCAGTGAAATGACAGCAAATGGGTTTGTCCACAAAGACAAAGAGAGCAGGGAGAGCTGACGGCCTCAAAATGCTGGGAGCCAGGAGCAGGGGTAACTGACTTCGCCGGCCCAGGCACCACGGTGCGGCCTAAGCTGGGAGGAGGGAAGGTGGAGAAGCACCCGGATTACCTGGCAGGACCCCCGGAAGACTTGGGAACCGGGTACATGTGGTTGCGCCCGAGGTGGAGGTGAGGCCAAACACAGAAGTATTGGTTGAAGGGTTGCTGGAGAAGCAGCTGGATAACCAAAGGTAATAGGTATGAGGGAAGCCTGGAATGTGAAACACGATATAAAAACAAAGACAAAGAAACAACTTCATGAGAACAGACATTAGCTTTGTTTACTAAGAGGAAATTAAAAAAAAACAGCAACAACCCTCTACTTAATATCCTACTCATAAAAGGCACTAAAGTTAACATCTTCGAAAAGATAAGAGAAGATATTTCATTGATGTAACAAGAACATTATGCTAAAATTAAAGAAACATCCAAAGAACCAAAACAATCACTTGGAAATTATACTAGTGACATAGGATGATTTTCACAGCAAAGTTGAAAGATAAAGTTGAGAATATCATCCAGAAAATAGAGCAAAAGACATAGATATAGAACATAGGGCAGAAAAACTAGGAAATTAGAGACCAGCCTAGGTGACATTTCAGAACGAGTGGAACGAGATGCTGCTGCAGCTTCTCAAGGGATCAAGGAGCAGAACAGCTCAGACACGGGCGGCCAGGCGCCCATGGGTGGATTCTTTCTGACTTCTGAGGGCAAATGGTTTTTACCTAGAATTCTGTAACCCTCCGTCTGGTTACCTATCATTACATAACAAAGAACTTCAACTTCAGTGGTTTATAACAATTATTCTCATATCTCCCAATTCGGGGTCAGGTATTCAGCCAGAGCGTGGCTGCCGGCTCTTCCGCTCCGCCCGACACTGGCCGTGGTGACTCAGTGCTGTTCACCTGGAGCCTGCGCTGCAGGGCCCCGGATGGCTCCCCTCACATAACCTGTGCCCGGGAGGGGGCAACGAGAAGGCTGGGCTTAGCTGGGTCCCTCTTCCTTTCCAAGTAGGGGCTATTTTTAAAATAGGTTTTAATTTTTGAGCAGTTTTAGGTTTACAGAGAGACTGAGCAGAAAGTCCAGCGAGTTCCCTTATACTCGCTCTTCTCCTCCTCAGTTTCCTCTGATTAACAGCGTGCATGGGCAGGACACATTCCTTACAAATGAAGAGTCAATACTGACACAACATTCTTAACTAATGTCCGCAGTTTACATCAGGGTAATTTACTCTTTGTAGTGAACAGTCTCTGGGTTTTGACAAATGCATAATGACAAACATCCAGCATTTCAGTATCATACGGATTAGCTTCACTGCCCCCAAAACCCTGTGCTCCACTTTTTAATCCCTCCTCCGTCTCTCCAAGACCCTGGAAACCACTTGATCTTTTACTGTCTCCACGGTTTTGCCTTTCCCAGAATGCCAGAGAGTTGGAATCGCAGCGTATGTAGCCTTTACAGATTGGCTTCTTTCACTTAGTAATATGCATTTAAGGTTCCTCCGTGCCTTTTCACGGCTTGATGGCTCATTTCCTTTTATTGTTGAGTAATAGTCCACTGTATGGGTGTACCACAGCTTATCCATTCGCCTATTAAAGGACACCTTGGTTGCTTCCACTGTACAGTCTTTCTCATGATATCTCAATAGGGTAGTCAGACTTCTTACATGGGGTGTCAGGGTTCTAAGGGACCAAAGTTGACAGGTGTCTTAAAAAGCCAGGCCAGAACGGGCATAGTGTCACTTCCGCCATCCCCTTTTGGTCAAAAAGTCCCAGGACAGCCGAGATTTAAGGATAGGATACTCCTAACTTTGATCTGCCATATCTGTCAGTGAGAGGTACGCTGTGGTGTCCCAGAGGCTCATTCCCTCCTTCCCACCAGTAGCTTAGCAAGAAGCTGATTCATCATGTGTTGAACTTTCCCTTTTTATCAAAACACTTGCCTGTACTAGAAATCTGTGTTTATTATTACATAGTAACTCTTAAACACTAGAACCCGCTTTTTAAATAGCTATGTAGGGTGTCCTGGATGAGTCTGTCTGAGACACCTTTCTATGAGATCACAGGAGTTCAGAGAGCAAGTGAACATGGCTCATTCTCAACTTGATTTATCCCAGCAAGTCCTATTGACCCCACTTAGGTCTACACTTGCGGTGTAAGCCCTGTTTCTGGGCCCACACTACATCTCATTAACAATACCCCACCACCTTACACTTCGTATCAAGTCAAAAAATAAAAACACTTCTAGATATGCAAATGCTAAAGAAATACTAATCATGATGTTACTTCCCACACAGCCTTCAAATGTAACTAAAAGCATTCTGTGCCCCAAACAAGGCAAGCGTGGTCTTCAGGGAATAAGCCCACCTAATAAGCCAGGAAGATGTGACGATGAGGAAGGGAGCTCCCAGATTATCCCCTGTGCCAAGTCCCGGTGACACAGGTCAAGGGCTTCCAGGAGAGAGTTCCACGAGAAAACGAAATTCAGAAACTACCTGATACATCAGAGCACATTGAAAAGGACCCAAACAACTGTAAAATATTTCAGGGTGAATTGCTGATAAATACTTAGAAATTAAGCAACAAAACAAAAGGCAACTGTTAACTCCAGGGAAGTAAAAGAGTTGTGAAGGGAAGAAAAAATAATCGTAGATCAATTGTGAGCGGTGAAGTCCTCCTCTCTGTGGCAGGAAATGAGTAGATGACACTAAAGACTGAAAATCAAGAAGTAGCCTTGAAAGTATGACATGAAGACATAAGGAAGAAAATACTAAAAGACTCGGTCAGTTAAGGTTGAAGTTAGTGACCTTCAGGAACGGAGAAGTAGGGAAGGGAGAGGAATGTGGTGTTGCTGGTCATCACTCTTAAACTATTTGTTTCTATCAGGCTTTGTTCACATTTGCCTTTTCAATGAGGTTTGCTCTGACCACCTTAATCCCAGTTTCCTCACTTTTTTTTTAATAGCATGTATCACCTTCTAGCATCCTCTATAATTTGCTTATTCATGCTATTTAGTGGGGGTTTTTTCCTGCTAGAATGTCAACAACACAGGGACAGAGGTCTTTGTTCTTTTCATTTACCAATATGACCCAGGTGCCTAGAACAGTGCCTAGGACATAGTAAGACTCAATAAATATCGCTCAAGTAAAATGAATTTGATTATTTTAATACTCTGTGCATCAGTAGCTTTGATTTTTACAAAATAAAATAAAATCATTCACCTTAAAACTACCACAGAGCAAAATCCCATACTTAATTTATTGCTCGGACATCTTAGTCTTCTATTAAGAAATGTTGTAAGTTTTCTGAGGCTTCAGAAAGAATACACTTTCAGTGCATCCCAAGGATCCAAACCTGGTACATGCTTCCCTTTCTGAAGCACCGAGACAGTTGGCCAGCACTATAATATGAGTGAGACTTACACAACACTTAAAAATAAACGGTGACTTATGTAAGGTTATGAGATCTGAAGTTGTTATAATGAAAAGAAGATGCAATATGTTGGAGGGCTGATCAAATACTTCTGAGTTTAGCCATTACCCATTAGTTTATATCTGGTCTTGTTTCAAAAAGGACTTTAGGAAGCCGATAACATTATAGAGAATATAACATTAAATTGAATTTAAATTAAAGCTTGGCAAAGAAAATAGAAAAATCAAAGAGGGGACCAAGGGGAGCCAAGAAAATGACTTAAAATGAGGGCAATTATAGCCTGATACTGGTCACAAATTTGTCTGTAAATTCTGTGTCCATTAGTATTAGATTCAGCCACAGGTAACAGAGAGACTCAATGTTTAGGTGGTTTAAATAAGATAATACATGAGTTTATTTCTCTCAAACATAAAAGGTCAGAGATGTGCAATCCAGGTCTGGTATGGGAGCCCAAGTCCACTGGTCCTCAGGGATCCAGGGTCTTCCCAGCTCACTCCTGCCTTCCCAGTGGAGAAGTTATCCCCACAGCCTATAATGACAGCATTCCTATTCTGGGCAACAGAATGGTAAACAGGACAAAGAAAGAGCAAAGAAACCTGCCAGTTGTGTCCTAAGAAACATTCCCTGAAACTGCTGCTGAAAAATTCCACTTCCATCTCATTACCCAGAACTTAGTGAAGAGGCCACACCTAGCTGCAAGGGAAGCTGGGAAAGCTGTCATCATTTTGAGCAAACATATGTCCTACTGAAACATCTATTAAAATGGGCAAAGGGGAGGCAGATATAAAGGACAAGAGTGTCTGCCACAGCTTCACAGCAATTGAGAGATGAAAGGGGACGTGGTCATGTTCAAAATACAGAGATGGTAAAGATGACCAATTGTTCAAGAGACTTACAGCAGTGTCTGGTAAAAAGATTACGAAGGGGTGACTCTGGAGGTCTTCTTAAGAAAAAAGAGTTTGGTCTTACGCAATCGTTACACATCCACACAATCGTTTTATGGGGCTGTTTCTTGCAATAACTTAGGCAGTGATAGTTTAGAGAAAATGCATCTGCAGAGATTTGATTTCCTGAGTTCATTTCCACCCCAGTTTAAAAAGTCATAATAAAAACATCTTTGTTTCAACTTCATCACCTGAATATCCCAACATTAAGTATACACATATTTATGTGTTTCAGAATTAAAGAAAACTCTATTTACCTTCATTTATGGAAAAGAAACCGCTGCAATCACAGAGACTACCAGAATCTTTCCAAAAACGGTATGTAGTCTTCCGCCAAAGCCTTGGCCTATGTGCCCTGAAGGACTGACTTTATTTCATAAGTACCACAAAAGCTGAGAATTACATTACTAGGACCATGGGGTAAAATGAACAGTCTCTCTTTCTGTTAGAGCTGCCCTGGGCTTAGAGCCTTGTCCCCACAGCAAATGAGAACAAGACACAGTCAAGAAATAGACAAAGGAGCAGGTCAGTTGTCCAACAGGAAAGCTCCAGAAAGGCCAAGGTGCAGGGCATTCGAGGCTTAGGAGGCAAGACCCGAGTGAGCATGAGCAGAACAGAACTAAGCAAAATCAAGGTCACTGCAAAGACTCTGCCCTCCCCTCTGGTGCAAAGTCTCCCACTTTTTTTTTTTTAAATATATCTCTATTGATTTCAGAGAGAGGAAGGGGGAAGGAGAGAGAGAAACATCAGTGATGAGAATCACTGATCAGCTGCCTCCTGCACGCCTCCTACTGGGGATCAAGCCATAACCCAGGCATCTGCCCTGACCAGGAATCGAACCCCGACCTCCTGGTTCATGGGTCAACACTCAACCACTAAGCCGCACTGGCCAGGCTTCCCTTTCTTTCTTTAAATCCTTAGGAATTCAAAGAATGGACACTTTGTCTGGTGTAACTTCTTGGAGGCACTGCTTGACTGTTTCTGTAGGGATGTGACTCTAAGAGGACTTTTCTTCGTTCCTCCGAGTTCCTGATCCTTTAATGTTCGGGTTTTCTTCTCCAGCCCCTCTGCCTGGTTTCAGAGGCTCCTCCTCACTATGGGTTTTCGTTTCATATCGTGCAGCATGTACCCCGACTACCTGCACCGAGCGATTCCAAGTGCTCTCCAAGGCTTCCATTAGGTATAGGAAAAGTCAGCCCTCTGTGGCCTGCACATTTATGGCTACACTTAGTTTTCATTATTAGGGAAAAAGAGGAGAAGGGGGAGGAAGAGTGGAGCGGAATATTAAAGCGTTTCTTGAAAACTGGAGAGTCAGAATTAAAGGGACAGCTCTTATTTTGGTCTTGATGTTTAGGTGCAAGATCTCAAACCTGTCTATAGGCATCCCCACCATGAGCCATTGCTGGTGATTATAAAGCATTTTAAAATATAAAATGTCGAAGTCACCTGTAATTCGGGTACCAGTTCTCTGGCATGGGGTTGGGCACAGCAAGGCTCCTGCTCAATCTTTAAGATCAGCCAATTCGGGGGGGGGGGGG